CATCGAGAGACTGATCCACGGGCCCGAAGCCTCGTACAACGACGTCCCGGCGTGGAAGTACACCGGTCTGCTGGAAGTCTTCGGCCCGACGGTCAGATCCGAGTCGTATCTGGTCCGTTCCGCGGACGAGCTGGACAGTCTGCTGAGTAATCCCATATTCGGCGAGCCGTCTTGCACGAAGGCAAGTCTTAGTCTTATCCTTACTTGGCTCTCATCTGCCCCGTCCACTAGACTGACTTGTGATGCATAGCTGGTTGAAATCATCCTCGACAAGTTCGATGCTCCTGAGGCAACGGCGAAGATCGGACAGGCGATCGAGGAGTTCAACAAGAGTGGTTGAATGTGTGTGTTGCGGGTGTTTTACTCAGGCGTCTCCTTTAAGGCTTGTTTGCGAAGTGAATTGAGGAATAGAATTGGGAAAGAGGAGTATGCGACCTACTTGTCGTACTATGTGGATTGCTTCATTAGTCTTCATACATTTCAGTACGTACTAATGTTAATCCTGTTTTATAACTCTTCGAATCGTCAAGTCTACTTATATTATTTTAGTGTCCTATTTTTCATGTTGATTATCTTATTCTTGTATGTGAAGTCGTTCTATATTCGTCATACTACCGTTGTTATAAACTTATATTACCGTTATTCTAAATGATTGTGCTGCAAAGAAATCGAAAAGTATCACTGCCTGCTAGCGAGATATTTGTCTTTGTAACCAGACTAATATTAATATAAAGTTTAGCATGCTATCCAGTGATGGGCATAGCAACCTGCGCCTATTTTCGGTTTACTGGTCAGAGGATGCGCAAGGCATACCGGCACGTGTAGAGTGACTCTACAGAGCCTACCTTAGTCTACTATGTAAGTCCTTGGCGCATCTCGGCTTACACCGACATTTAAATCTCACAATGATTTCTCAGCAGCAGATATCAGCCTTCGCTCAGTCGCTCGCCATGGAACGCTTGGACAATCCACCAAAGAGACACAAACCAAACCCAAGGACAGCGGTTCAGTCTAGCCCTCCGATAGAAGCACCAGCCTCAGAGCCCGCAACATTCTGCAACCGATGCAAGAGCATCCCCTGGGCGCAACTGGCCGTGAACACGCCCAACGGACCAGCCTCATCAACCAAAGCATGGTCAATCAAGGTGACCGACAGCCACGAGCAGCTAAAAGCCGCCCCCTGCAAGCTGTGCCGGGCCCTGGGCCTCATCAAGCCCGCCGAGCTGGACGCAGCCTCGTGCCAGCTCCGGGCCTTCTCCGCAAGAGCAGTCTTCGGCCGCGTCGCGTCCGGGGTGCAGTTGGACGACGACGAGTCGATCCTCGACAGCACCCTGGTCGGGATCAAGCACACCCGGGAATCCTACAAGTCCGTCATCGACCGCGGATTCTTCAGCGTCCTGCTTGACGACGTCGACCCGGCGTCGCTTCACTTTGGTCCTCGGAGGGTAGATTCGAAGGCCATCGATTTCGACCTGGTCAAAGACTGGATCGCTCACTGCAGCGCAAAGCACTCCAAGCTGCCGTGTCCGCCACCGGGTGCTCACGGTGTGGACGAACTGCGGGTCCTCGACTGCTCGACCAGATCGGTCATCCAGGCTCCTCCTGAATGCCGCTATATCGCTCTGTCGTACGTATGGGGAGATTCTCATCCGTACCAAAGCCAGACCTCAACTCTACCGCCGTTTCCCCGGGTTGTCGGAGACTGCATTCAGCTTACCCTGGCCCTGGGGTACCGGTACTTGTGGGTTGACCGATATGTGAGTCTTCCTCTCAAGACCACAGTTTTCCAGTGCCATTCCGCAAGATTATTGTTACTTACCTACCGAGCGCTAGTGCATCAGCCAAGCCGACGAAAGCAAGCACGAACAGATCCGCCAAATGAACAAGATCTACGCCGGCTCACAGCTGACCGTGATCGCCGCAGCAGGCCGGGACGCGCAATACGGCCTCCCCGGCGTGAGCCGTGACCGACAGGAACAAGTTCGGGTTGAGATAGACGGCGCAAGTCTACTGCAGGTATTCCCCCACCAAGCCACCGTCGTCAACCGGTCGGTCTGGGCGCAGCGCGGCTGGACGTTCCAGGAGTGCTACCTGGCCAAGCGCCGGCTGATCGTCACAGACCACCAGGTCTCCTTCCTCTGCAACCAGGTCCATCTGAGCGAGTCCGTGAACCGGGCGCCATTCTCCCTCAGCCCATTCGACAGCGCCCCCTTTCTGGGCCTGATACCCAGCCCGGGCAAGCCGAGGATGAACACCGGCACGGGCCAGGTCTCGCAACCGACCAAAGGGGTGGGGAAGATCATCGCCGCGTACAGCGCGAGGACCCTGTCGTACGAGTCCGACATCATGTCCGCCTTTCTCGGGATACTTGCCTTTTTGGAGGAGAGAGACATGCACCACATCTGGGGCGTGCCGTTCGACAGAGACAAGGGCCTGCTCCTCGACTGGTACCACGAGAAGCCGTGCCGGCCCCGCGCCGGGTTCCCGACATGGTCGTGGACGGGATGGGCGGGGTCGGCAATCGTCAACGACGCGTACTCAAGCAGTTCCAGATCCGACATGTGGATCAGCGAGGACGCCGCCCGGAGGACGGACTCCAAGAAGCTGATCCTCTCCAAGCGGGAGAAGAGGTTCGACGAGCGGTACCAGGCGCTTCCCGAGTACCGCTACGTGCCCCCCGCGACGGCGCCTCATGTCCTCCACCTCACGGCACGGGTTGTGAAGCTCTCCTTCCGGCACGTCGAGTGGACCGGCGACCAGCTCGCCCAGCCGACGGTGGTTCGCATGTGGACCCGCTGGAACGGCGCGGAAGCGGCGAGAAAAGAGACTTTCAAGCCCCCGCGTCGCAGTGGACTGCACGTTCGGCTCCCGCTTGCCCCTAACATTGTGGCCTTGCCCTACGTCTACCTGGATGACGACACGGCACTTACCGGCCCTGGTGCTGGTTCAGTCTTCGGAGCTGTTCTGGAGGGATTCTGGCGATGCATTCTGGTCCTCAAACCGGGGCAACGAGACGGCTCCTTCTCCAGGGTCGGCATCATACCCGTCCAGTTGGACGCAGGCACCAACAAATGGGGAACGGCCATGCTGCCCACCAGGTACGAGGACGACATGGGTGGCGTGTTGGACGAGGTAGATCTGAATTGGCACTCGGCCATGTGGAAGCCGCTCTGGCTGGAGAACCAGGAAGAACGCACCTTGAGTTTGATATAGACGTAGACCTAGATAGTCTCCAAGGTAGACTCTCATTGTCAGAATTGGCTTTTGATACCGGCTCACCCGTCGGGCTTCTCAAGCGGATGGACTTGTAGCCCTATACACAACTTGTTTGTATGCTATATGCGTTTTAAACTTTAAACTCTGATGCTCAGATCCAGTCAATTCAGTTCAGCGGCGGCCGTCATAGTCATAATCTTTCATCTTCGTCGTAAAACAACATCAATCACTATCAAAAACCCTCGCACCACATTCCCATTTCTCCAAAATCACCCCGTCGTCGTCGTCGTCGCGCCAGCCAAGGCCAACAACCTCTCCCCAACCCTCAAATTGGCGTACGCGTAGGCCCTGCTCTCCTTGGGGAACGTGCCGTTTGCGGCCCACAGGTCCACAAGGGCCTGCATGGGCTCCAGGTCGGCCGGGGCGAGCAGGTCGAGGGTGGTGGCGGTCAGGATGAAGTGGGAGAAGCAGCTGTTCATGCTCTTCTCCAGGCCCAGGTGGTACATGGGGTCCTCGAAGTGCGACCAGTACAGGTGCGCGTAGACGCGGAACATCTGCCGGAAGATCTTCTGGCAGACGTCGAGGAAGTTCTGCGGGAAGCCGGAGCGCTTGCCTACCCAGTCCGGTCCTCCGGACGAAGAGATGGAGTTGATGTCGTCGGAGGAGGGAGAGATGGAGGCCGGGTAGGGAGCGAAGGAGACGCCGGCGGGATCGGTGGGGAAGACGGCGGCGTCGTCGATCTTGGTGGAGATGTACCGCTGCACTAGAGATAGGTACTCGTAGGCGGGGATCTCGACTGGTTCCAGGCGGGAGTTGAGCCAGGTGAATGAATGATTTCTATTCTCGGCGATTAGGAATAGGAATAGAGTTGAAAATTGGGGGAGAGGGGAGGAGAGAGGGGAGGAGAGAGGGGAGGAGAGAGGGGAGGAGAGTGCTGGGGTGAGGCTCACGGGCCGGCCGACATCTTGGGGCAGGTGCGGCCGTTGCAGATTGTGTAGCCGTCTTCGTCCTTGTCGTGCACGAGACGGATGAAGGTTACAAGCATGCGCCAGTGCTCGACGACTGGGTAGATCATGTTAGCATGAGAGGGAATTCTGTGTCAGCTTGACGGAAGGTAGAGAGACTCACCCTGGTGCGCAACCCATTCACCCATCTCGACCGTCTTTGGGCGGGCGCTGAGCGTCATAAAGTTACCCCTCACGATGTGACGGGCATATGCGGCGTTGAGCCATAGCGGCTTCGGCGAGGGAAGATGGTATGAGGCGAGGACTTCATCGCCGGACGCTACGTTGTTATTATCCGCCATAATCATAGGCATTGCGGACGACAAACGAGCGAGATATGCTTTGAGTTGTGAATGGCGGAGGAAGAGGTCGGTGATGCCAGACTGTAGCGCCCCTCAATGATTGGAGATCAGCGACAGGGGCGGCTGAAGAATAGGAGCAAACCAGCAATTACGCGGGGACAAAATAGTCACTGTAAAATCATGCTTCCAGTTTTAAAATGATGTGAACATAGTAGAGCCTGAAGAACGCAATCATAAAATGAAAAGTATTCGAACCGGTGTGACGCTCTCATCACTCTGACGAGAGCTGTTCATCTATGCTCTGTCTGTTGCCATTCCACAGCTACCCTCGGTTGGCGCTAGGGCTACCTACCTATAGAAACAACAGCGCCATGTTAGCATTGCATAAGTCAAGAAGAATCAATTGGTAAAAAAGATAGACAGCAGAGTTGCGATATCAAATGTAAAAAATGGAGAGTACCTAAAGAGCAAAAGTATTCGTCAAGGACAGGATTCGAACCTGCGCGTCCGAAGACACGGCCTACAACTGCGTTTGATAGCAGGGCCGCCCGTTAACCACTCCGGCACCTTGACAGTTTTTTTTTGTACCACACGCTTGAGAGCGTGCGAAGGTGGGGTGATTCTTGGTACTTTGGGACGCTAACACCCTTTATGTAACTGCTGGGATTTACGCAGTATCCATCCCCTCCAAGGCCAGTTGACTTGTAAGTTGATTTGACCGAATACATTTCACCAGCGTTGAATTGCAAACTGGCAGCGACGAACTCTGGGCAATAACACATTCAGCAACGTAGCATATATAGCCACAGAACAGCTTGTTATGTTTCCACACAAGACAATCTCATATGTGCAGAATAGCCTAGCAATTTCTCCATGTCAACCCCAAGTCCCCAACCCAACACCATGCATATACACCCAAGGCACACAACACGCCCGCCATAACAAAGGAAACTCGTATATATATTCTCTCACTCCAGGCAGTCCGGGTATCTCAAAATCACCTATTTGTTGGCTCTCTAATCCCCTCTCACTCTCAAGACAGCGGGATCACATAACAACACACTTCCTCTCCCCCTTACCCCCCCCTTCCCTCCTCCCCTCTCCACCCCGACTCTCCATCCCCAGCCCCCTAGCCAGCTCCTCCCTCTCCCTCGCCCTCTGCTCCTCCCTCCCCCCACCACCCCTCGAGAACAGCCCGGTAAACCCGCTCGCCATGCTCGTACTAGTAACATCCGTCCACCCCGCCGAGCTAGCCCCATCCCCCTCCCCCTCCCTCCTCTTCTTCTTCCCTCCTTTCCCTCTTCCCTTCCCGCTCCCCCTCCGCCTCCCCCCGCTCCACCCCTTCCTCTTAGCATCCGCCATGTTCCTCGCCGCGCTCCGCTCCGCCCGCGACTGCCTCCGCGTCACGCTCGGCACCCGCACGCTCCCGCTCCCGGCCGCCGGGGGCGGAACGAGGTAGTTCGACGACGACGGCCCGGCTCCCGCAGTGCCGCTGTTGTGCGACGCCACGCTGTAGATCGTCTCGAGCCGCTCGACCGTCGGCCGGAGCACGGCGGCCTGCGCCTGCGGCCTGGGGTGTCGCGGGATCGGCGCCAGGATCTGCGGCTCCTCGCGGCGGGAGGAGGATGTCTGCCGGGTGGGAGGGTCGAATGCCCCCGTCACGCCTTTGGGGGTGGAGATTATGAGAGGTTGGTCTTCAACCGGCGGCGGGGGGTTGCGGCGGGGTTGGGGTTGGTGGAAGGTGGGTTGTTGGTATGGTGGCTGGGGCTGCTGCCACTGCTGCGGCTGGGGTTGCTGGTAGTGTTGGTCTCCTGGTGTCTGCGGTAGCGGCTGCTGGTATGACCGGCGCTGGGCACCGTAGTCCCCGCTCGTTCGGCTCCCGACTGGCACGCGCTGGACTTGGAAGCCGCCCGACAATCTGCGGGGGCCTTGGCTCGAGCGGTTGTTGAGGCTGGCTAGTTGGTCTGCACGGGGCGCGGGCGGGAGCGCTTGTTCAAGCCTGTCGCCGAGGTTGGAGCTGCTCGGTGGCGCCGAGTACGGGTAGCCCGCAGCTATCATGGCTGATGCTCCGGGATCACCGGGCTTGGCGGGCCATGTCTGAGCGTTGGAGAGCGGACGAGGTTTCGGAGCTTGCTGGGCGGTGCCGTCGAAGCTCGGCATGAAGTTGCCCATCGTCGGCGAGGGTATATGAAGGTCCAACGCCGGCGCACGTGGTGTGTCTGGGGACGCGGCTGTGGTCTGGATGCGTGGTACAGGCGGGAGCACACGCTGACTCAGTCCCGGTGACGAAGGACTGACAGGATTGGTCTGCGCCGAATGACTGACAGCGGTGCTGTTGCTCACTGTCCTCGAGTCACCTGTGTTCACTGCACCAACGGCACGAGCTGTCGTGTTGGGAGAGCGCGGCGGTGACACGTCGTAGATGTTCTCGCCGTCCAGGAAACCAGACTGCGACTGGCGTGATGTGGGCCGTGACGTTTCACCCGACCGAGGGGGCTGTGACGGAATTTGGGCTCCTAGTCTCACATTGGGCAGAGGCGGCTGTGCTAGTGGGGGCCCCCGATGTTGCACAGGCACCGCCGTCTGGCTCCTTGTCGGCTGCTGTGTCCCAGAGCCCCCTTGGACGCGCGGCTGCGTGATCTGAGACTGTGCTGGTGTAGCCATTGCACCGGGCACTGCAGCGGCTGGAAGAGCTGGAACCGGTGGTGCAGCTGTGGCAGGTCGAACTGTGTGTCGCAGAAAAGCAGGCAGATCGCCAGGATCTTCTTTCTGGTAGGGGGGAGGAGGCGGAACCCAGTTATCTGCATCGCTCTCGTGCGGGTGTTCAGCCCTACCATCTGCCCGACGGTACTCGACCTGCCCAGCTGTCGCAGGAGCCGGATGGAGTCGACGGTTCACCGCCGCGGCAGTAGCTGCGCGGCGAAGCGTGGTTCCGGATCGGGGGTTCCCGTGCGCGTACGGGGCATCCAGTGCCTCTTGCTCCTCTATTATAGACTGCGTCTCTGTTTCTTCGGGAATGGCAGGTTGCGGCTGTTCGACCGTCAGTGATACGGGTGCTGCTCCGACACGACGTGGAACAAGAGGATCGTCGTCTTCTTCTCCCGTTTGCGACGAGGAGGGCTGCGACGGAAGAGCTGGGACTGATGGCGACCGGCTCGCTGTTGTCGAAGCTCTTATCACTGCACCGCGAGAACCTCCTCCTCCTCTCTTCTGGGCCACCGTCCTTCGTCGGAAGAGCGCCACCTCAGCATCAAGATCGCGAGTCTCTTCCTCTAATACTTCCGGTTCCTTGTTGCCCACCTCGATACACATCTCAGTCGTCATGCCATTCTCTAGGCCGTAGTCAAAGTCGATGAGCGTCAGCCTGCCTCCGTCTACAAAATCTATCCCGTCTTCCTCTGTTATCGGCTTCGCTGGCGTCACGCCACGAGCGGTGACAACGAGGCGCTCCGTCAAGGAAGAGGCGCCGAATCCGGCTACCCACTTGACTGTACTCACGCCCTCCAGCTCGGCAAGCTTGTAGCCGCCTACGAAGGTGTTGCGCAACTTGTCGCAGAGTATCTGCCACTGGGGTACTCTTGCGGCGTCTGCGTTCTCGGCCATCCTCGAGGGCGACCGCACGGATGGACCACTGTTGCGTCGATGCAGTCCACTGGAGTTTCCGCTCTCCGAGTTGTTGCTCGAGCAGTCCGCCACCGCATCCAAGTCCTCCGGAACACCATAGACCCAGATCTCCTTGCCTTGGAAGCCCGCAGACACGAGCTCGCCGTTGTAGGAGGCAGCCGGCAACGTGCACGGAATGAGCCTGGCCTGGGACGTCGGACTCGGTATTGGACCTGTAAAGTAAGTCGTGCCGTTCCTCAAGTCATCTATACGAACAGCTCGGAATGTCTCGAAACTGCGATCGTAGGTGAAAGTCCAGCCGGCTTCCTCATGACGTCCGTTCTGCAGCAGTACAGCATGGCTGCAGTCTCGGCTGCTGTTGGGGAACAATATCGACGTAGTCCAGAGTGGCGTAATATCATCCGAGGCCATATGGGTGCCGGGATCGTAGTATGGGGCCGTGAGAATAACTGTATTTGGCTGCGATGAGTGGACAGTCGTGCCGAGAATCTGCGTACCGTCAAAGGAGAATGCCAGGGCATCGACGGCGTCACACTTGACGGCCCGTCTATCGCTGGCAAGTGCGCTGGACTTTAGTGACGAGACCTCGATGCCGCCTTCATATGCTGCAGCAAGGATCGAGCCGCATGGTGACAGGGCAATAGCGCGCGGACTGTGATCAAGTATGATAGACTGTGTCCTCTTCGGTGGTGATTCGCGAAGGTTGTAGATGTCGACTTGCATGTCAGTAAGAAGCACAGCTAGCAGAGAGCCCGCATCGTCAATACATGTTGCAGCCGGCCGTCGCAGTATCTTCAACTCCCTTTCCACCTTGATCTCCGGGGCCGTGGCGTTGATGATGTAGATACGAGAGGAGTTGTATCCCAGAAGATGGTGACCCTTTGGCGACGAAGCAAACTGTATCCCCTCTCCGCCCGGACATGACGAGGAGCTGATGGAGTTATTGATGACCTTGATGACCGTCTGATTGGGACGCAAGTAAGCGTCAAAGAGGTTCCGCTTCACTTCCTTCGCAAACAGGCGCCGGAGCTTGTCCAGACCCTCGTCGGCGATGGAGGACGGCGTTACATGTTTATGGCTGACGGAATATGATGGACATCTCGAGAGCTGCTCCGCGTAGAGTTGCGGTTGTTGGGAGACGCGCCTCCATTTCGAGTTGAGGAGGACAAGAGATGCAAAAGCATTGGGATCGGCAACCTGTAAGATCCTAAAGTAAAGGAGCAGAAAACCAGGTCAGCTCTGAGCGCAATCCAAAGGAACCATAACATGGGACAGGGTGATAGCCGTACTGTGTGATGATCTCGTCGGGTAGTCTCTCGAATGCAGATGGCGTCTCTTCTTCGGGTTCAATTATGGGCGCCTTCTCGATGGACGAGCGAGGCTGGGCGCCATCGACGTCTGTGACGGTCATTACTCCCATCAGACCTAAGGAGTTACTCTTGGAGAAGAGACTCTCAGGACGATGCTTTCAAATGCAGCAACGGAGTGGAGGCGGAGGTGATATTGATGGATGCTCGCATGGTTCTGTGGTCCAGATCTGCTGTCGTAACCCTTTTTCTTTGTGTAACTGTAACGCGATGTTGGTGGTACTGCTGTACTGGTGGGATCCTGCGACGAAAGTGTCCTCACTATTCGAGACTGGAGAGAGGATGACAATGGCGAGCGGCAAAGGAATCGACGTGGATGGCCTGAATGGATAAAGTGTCGGCAGTACGGATCCGTGCTTGGTGGTACTACGTAGTCAGGGTAGTGTACTGTGTAGAGAGATGGTGGGATGGTTGGCATTTCTAGAACATGTTAGGCATTGTCTCCCTGAACGGTCGAGCGTCGTATCAAAGGTTGTCGAGATGCGCTGAACGTCCAATGGGCGATTGAGGCGCAGTGACGCAACGAATGGCCAACTGTGCAGTCACTGCAAGTGGTTGTTTGCCAAGAATCTTTATCCACCA